CCCGGAGCCTGCACTTACCACCCAAAGTCCGCACTGACTACCCAGAACCCGCACTGACTATCCAAAAGCCATACTGATCACTCAGAGCCTACACTGAAATTCCCACGGCCCGCACTGACCACCTATAGCCCACACTGACCACCCAAAGTCCGCACTGACCACCCAAAGCCTGCACTGACCACCAAGAGCCCACACTGACCACCCAAAGCCTGCACTGACCACCCAGAGCATGCACTGAGCACCTAAAGATCACACTGACCACCCAGGGCCGCACTAGCCACCTGAGAGCCGCACTGACCACCAGAGAGCATGCACTGGCTCCCTGAGAGCCTGAACAGCCTCCTGAGAGCCTGCACAGCCCCCCTGAAACCCAGCATAGCAATCCTGAGACCCTGGGGGACATCAGGCCACGAACCTGGAGCAACACAGAGTATGTCGCTTCATAGTATTCTGCATTGCTGTATAAAGTATTGCTAGGATTTGTAATCCTCTATAGCTGATGGTATTATTCTGAAGTTCTTGTATTGCTGGGATCTGTAGTTCTCTATAGTTTGTGATATTCTGCATTGCCCTGTAATGCATTACTGGGATTTGCAGTCCTCTATAGTTGGTGGTATTCTGCATTGCTGTGTATTTATTGCTGGGATTTGTAGTTCTCTATAGTCGGTGGTATTATTCTACATTGCTGCATAATGTATTACTGGGATTTGTAGTCCTCTATAGTTGGCGGTATTCTGCATCGCTTTATAACTATTGCTGAGATTGGTAGTCTCTCTACAACGTGGAGTCAGTGGTAGATCTACCAGACTCACAGCTGCAGCCAGGCCATGGCGCTCCACCACTGACTCCAATCTGTAGAGAGACTACAAATCACAGCCCAGACAGCAGCAAGAGGGCCCTGGTAACTGTCGACATTTCCATAAAAAGGCTCACCGAAATCCTCAGCACCAGGCCCGTGATGCTCTTAAACCGGCCCGGGTACATTGCAGCCTACTCATTTTGAACAAGCTGCTTAATATGATGCACCGTAATGCAAGAAAATGCACGATCTTTTCTAACATGCCATGCAAAAACTCAGAATAAATACTGATATGCAGCTCTGAAAATGTTTGCACAGCAATTCCTAGCTTTTCTCATTTATTGTCCATCAACATTTCTGGTTCAATCTCATCTTCGTAAAATTATACGCAGTAGCATA